TGGATGATGCTCATCTGGCGCGACATCTCGTCCATCGTCACGTACACGCTCGGCCGAGTCGCACCCTCCTGCCAGGCCTTCGAGGGTCGGCGTGGCTGAAGAGGTCATTTGGGAAAGAAGAAACCCAAATAAACGAGCCAATCAGGCCAACCTTGCCGAAGGATGGGGTCAGAGCCGCGACTCGACTGCAGATTCGAGCACGCAGTCTCGACTCATCTCGTCCGCACCGCCGGCGGGACTCGAATCCAGCCTGCGCTGGTGCCGCCCACAATCGCGACATGCTGGCCACCGGCCAGAGAAGTGAACTCCGCAAGAGCTTATCACATTTCCGACCTGGAATTGGCCATTAGGCCAAAGTGAATTTGATGCTACAGTCGACTGTACTACTCATATTCGTGTGAGTAGGTCTCGAAACCGCCGGTTTATTCATCCAAGCTCGATTTTACTGAGGCGACTGAGAGACTTGGCTCGATTCTAAACTGCAACAAAGTCGATGTGAGATGAGAATGCCTTTTGAGATGCGAGCCAAGCAAAACCCAAGGACGACCCATCAAATTGTGCCAAGATTTAGTAGCAATTGCTTAATTTTGTATGTCGCCAAAGGTGAAAAAATGCCTTGGCAAGCCATAAGCCTATTAGAACTTATTATCGTATTATAGTAGAGTTTCGAGACTACCAATAAATCAGTAGTATGAGATGCATTCACCCTATTTCGTCTGAGTTGATGAAGGACTGGTAGTAGAATTTTCACACAATGATGAGTTGAGCTGACGCTTCCATTCAATTTCACATCAGTCAACCCTGGATGAGAACAACTTTTGGGAAATCAGGGCAACGTCAGCTCAATTCATATGATTGTGGGAAAATTGTTCTTCTACCAGTCCTTCATCACCTTAAACGAAATAGGGTGAATAAATCTCATACTACTGATTTAATGGTAGACTCGAAACAATACTTAAATGCGAAAAATAAAATGAAATTGAATGGAAACGTCAGCTCAACTCATATGATTGTGGGAATATTGTTTTTCTACCAGTCCTTCATCAACTTAAACGAAATAGGATGAATACATCTCATACTACTGATTTAATGGTAGACTCGAAACAATACTTAAATGCGAAAAATAAAATGAAATAAACTGAAATGGAATGGAAACGTTAGCTCAACTCATATGATTGTGGGAAAATTATTTTTCCACCAGTCCTGCATCACCTTAGACGAAATAGGGTGAATACATCTCCTATTAGAACTTAGTCAATCAGGAGACTTGATATTCATTAAGTCGTCAATTTTATTATTCAGCTATTCATTACATTAGCGGTAAATCAAAGGTAATTTCAGCCATAAGTTATTCGGCAATTCGTTTATAGCAAAATGTATTATGAATTCCTTCATCGCCTTATCGTATTTTTCAACTAATTCTGCAATTTATTCATTCAATCAGAGTAAGACTATGGCAAAATTGTCACAAGAAGAGTACAGCTCTTAGGCAATCCATCAATCGTGTTGTGCAGACTTTAGTGAATCAAACAGTCAATCAATCACTCAGTCATTAAGCAGTTAGTCATTGATTGCTTCCTTATTAAGTCATTCGGAAATTTATTATTTATTCCCTAGCAAGTCGATCGGCCTACTCGTCTGTCTGTGTGTGTTCGAAACTGACTTAAACTGACTACCACGTTTTACGTCGTCCAGTTGTGCTCTGTGCTTTCACGCAACCTGCCGCGTTGATGAGGTTGACAACAACGAAACTCAATTCGTCCTGAATACTGGAACTTACTTCCAATGAACCAAATTAGAATTGACCCTATTTCATCTGTACTCTTCGATTGTTCAACTTCTCTCCCTCTCACCGGTGCCTCGCCTCCAGACTTAGCCACTGAACCCATTTCTTCCACCGCCAGAATACCAAACAGGGTTGCTTACCTCGCATAAGCAACTGCTGATTGAGATGTCTGTTCTTGTCTTTTCCCGACGTCACCAGAACCTGCAGTGGAGGCTGCAATCCTGGAAGCCATTTGGCCGGACAGTGTTCATTCACTCCAACCGGGCACCAAAAGAGGCATTTCGTGTACCTCAGGACGGAAGACGATTGACCGACACACGTGGCTCAAGTAGACACGAGTGAAAAAAATTGGACACGCTAGAAGCACCACTTATCATGTAGCCACAACGAGTAGCTGAGCTCCGATTAATCCCTTGGGATAACATTATTGTGAAAATTTTCATTTCGTGTGAAAGTGCAAGATGAAGGTATTCGTAGGTCCGTTGGCTGCACTGAGGAATAGTCAAAGTTGTATGGCATCATTTACTCACCTGCATACCTAAATACACACACACACACACACATACAAGTACAAATAGCTTGATTTATATGAAGTAGAAATGGCGAAATCATACTATTTCTATCCATTTATGTTCATACAATGTAGTTTTCTAGTTACATGTATATATAACATGTATAATAGAGGCGGACAGTCTTCTTGACTTGAGGTTAACTCGAAGCTGTTGCAACACAGAGTTCCAGTTTCAAGGATGCTCGTCATA